TTAAGAAATATAGTCAAATTAGAAAAAAAAGATTTCACTCAACACCAAAACTATGATTTGGTTATTAAAACTTTTAACGTTTTTTTAGAATAAGGCTTAAATGATTAAAATTTGTTACTTTTCCAACCCATAGAAAGAATTGTATTTGTTTTTTCAATATGGTCACGTTGCAAAATTACTACGTTTATATGAATCCAATATTTTCGAGGAAAGTTCGACTGTGAAATTAATGAATAAACAGACAGACTCAGCTTCTGACAGACGTTTTTCAAAACGTGCTGATATAGTAGGTATAAAAATAAAATAAATGGCGTGATCAAAATGGACGATAAATTGATAAAGATTATCGTTAATAACTGTTTAGAGAAAAGTTGATGTACTGTATTAGAGATCCTATATATATTGAGTAAAACAAAATAAAATATTGATGAATTTAAAATTTTCCGTTCACTGTTTAGATTAACATTTTCTCTCCTGTACCATCTTAAGCCATGACGCTTCTCACCAGGTCTTTCTTGTTACATCATCGCAAGTTATTATGGAGTGATCTCCTCTTCATATCCGTTCTCTTTGGTACAATTCCATAATCTTCTTGATGAAAATCTCTCATGAGTGTCACAATCTGTCAAAAATCTTGATACTCCATAGTTTAAAAATTCGTTAATCTAGGAATGATCAACACGAGACTTGTTAGCTAGACGTACGAAGTCGTTTAACGTGTAACTGCATGAGGATCTGCTCAGATAACTTCAATTTTAAATATTTCTGGAGAGATTTCACTGGATGACCTTTAATGTTCATGACATTAGCTTTTTAATGGTACACCTCATACGCTAGTTGTAGATATAAATAGTTGTGAATAAATTAAAAAACACAAAACAATTACTAACCCAATAAATCTTTACGGTTTCATGTCCTATTCTGTGGGAAGAATTAAGTACATTGCGATATAAGAATATTCTATGGAAAGAAAGGGCGTTATTGTTTGAAAATTGAAGACATATTGACTCTGTGTTTTCGGTTATGAGATCAAATCCTTCGCTAACATCGCATAATTGATGATCTAACTACCCAAAGACGCAGAGCGGAGGACTAGATCAAAGGCCTCCTCATTATCCACCGCCGCTAATTGAGTTATCTATAAGCTGGTACCCTTTGCCCAACTCCAAGGCGGGGCAGTTTGGCATTGGGTCCTATCAACCGCGCTAACTCTGCTTCAACTCCGCCGCATCTGTCATATCATCCCTGTTAACTCGTTAATGCTATCATATCCCTCCATATATATGTATAGGGCATTAGTGGACAGCGCTTGGGTTGGTGATGAGCCGACTAATACGGTTTGCTAATAAGTAAGATAACCGTTGTACATCTCTCAGCTGGTGTATATTACCTCCATCTTACATACCCAATATTAGGTAAACATTGAACAATTAAAAAACAAATATATATGTTTTTTCTGACATTTTCAATTTACACTTTTCATTCAAGTAATAATTATTTTTCGAGTAGAATATTTGAGCTGGAAATCACATCACTAAGAAACGTTTATATTTCTTGATAAGATCAAATAAAAATCATCTTACACAGAAACATGAGAGAGAACACTTATTGGTTTCTTATATATTTATTTATTATTAGTTATATATATATTCCTGGCTCACAATAAATTTGCCATCTACCTCGGTATTCAGCAAATATGATATTAAGGAGAATAAATGAGAGCCTAAAAAAAAAAAAAAGAATAGTCATAACAAAACAAAAAAAATAGTAAAATAACATACAAAAAAAATAGTAAAATAACACACAAAAAAAGATAATGCAGCAAGTAGCTCAATGCAATAAGCTCCTCAGCAGTCTTCTGGGCGGATATGGATTTGTAGAAGTCGAATGAGCTTGAGTAAGTGGATTTGAATTTAGAATCAGTCTATCATGAAAATTATTAAAGCGGTCAGTGGCAGTTGCCGTGATGAAAGCAGAGTTAAGGTCAGTGTGTAACGTAAGGTTTGAAATATAAAAGGGTGCTTCTACAATGTTCTGAAGGACTTTTGACTGAAATGATGAACGGATGATGAAATGAAACTAAATGACTGAAATGACTAAACGGATGATTTTTATATTTGATTTCTGTGGTTTAATGAGGACTTTGTAAATAGTTAATTTATTAGTCACTGATAATTTAGAAGATTTCAAGTTGGCTAGAAAGACCTCCGTATCGCTGATTAAGTTCTTTTCTATGTTGTTTTATGTGTTATGTCCATGTCATTCGTTTGTCCAAGTGGAGACCCAAATATCGTACAGCTTTCGAAGGTGGTAGAGCGATATGATTGAAGAAAACTGGAGGACAAGAGTCATGTCCACCTGTAAGTGTTCTCACATATAGAAATAAAAAATTATCAATAGTTAATTTACAATAATAAAGAAATTTATGAACTCATCTTTATCTCGTATACATGTCAATTTTTTTAATTGATTTTTTTTTTAATTTACACATATTATTTACCACCGGTGTGCAAAAATTATCTACACAATTTTTGTTTTTGTCAGTCAGGATTTTTGTTGGTGATTATTTTATCTTTCTAAAAGAAAAAAAAAGTATATAAAAAATAATTTACATATATAATGGCAAACAAAATATATAAAAATTATTGGAGTAAACTTATTAGAAGAGTTATTTTGAAAATATTATTACAAGATAAAATATTAAAGAATAAGTCATATTTTTTACTATCTAGCATAATTTATTTATTTATTTTTAATAACCATAAGGGAAAAAATATTCCTATACCACAAAATAGTTATGTACTTTTTGGTAAAGTATAATAAATACACTAAAAATAATATTTTTATTTTGTCAGTTATAGTTAAAATATAATTATTTTATTTTTATTTTTAAGGTTAAGGCAATTAAACTTCATTTTTTATCATTAACCCTTTTTTAATCACATCTAACGTTTCGGTACAATTTTTCCATCATAAGAAAATCCCTTTTATTTAATTGACTTTGTAATGTGGCACCAATGGTCAAAAATTACAATAACTGTCATATCTATTTTTAATTTTTACACATTCATATTCTATATATCATTATACCAACCAGCACTTGGTTACTTCTAGATTTAGTTTTAACTGTAAAAATGAAGTTTAATTGCCTTAACCTTAAAAATATAATCCGAAGCTTCCTGGTGAAATAAAAACAAGAATTTAATTTTTTAAATATAAATAGTGAATAATGAACAAAATATGTTTAAATAATAACAGTAACACGCTTTTAATTTTTTTTTTTTTTTTTTTTTGGCCAACGACAAAAAAAAATCGAAAAAAATTATATTGAAAAAAAAAGTTTTATATATGGTATATGTTGCCCAATCTTAAAGAATGAGTCTATTTGTAAATATTTTTTGTAAACTAAAAGACGCGATAAAATTATCAAAAAAATCACTGATAACAAAGCTATATATACATAAACGACTTTTATATGTGTACACTATCTATACGTTTATTGTTTAATACAAAGCATGACCAGGTTACAAACTTTTGGCCCAACCCTCTAAGCCCTAGCTAACAACCCCTTTAGTCTCCGTGAGTTGTTGGAATAATTTTGGAGGCCACATAACCTAAATAATAAATTTAAATATCCACCTTCCAGCGTAGATATTTCTTTTATAAGTACTATATATTTATACGCACTGTTACTTCAATTATTCCTTTCAATTGAGATTAAGCTATAGTGAATGTTAAAAATTGAATTTTAAAAATCTATTTGAGGATGAAATTCACTGATCGAAATTGGATGTGAAACCGACTGTCACTTCAACAGGTACTAGCCAAGCCCTTTATTTTAAAGTTGGCTTGGGCCCAATTACCCAATGCTAATGCTAGCCTCAATTTGATTGGTCCAATTTAATTAAAAGTGGATCGGTTTAATTGTTGGCTGGAGCCGATGTGAACCGCGACACCTCAGTGCACTCTCCTATCTGCTATAGCCAATTAACACTAAACCTCACTGCGCTCAATAGTTTGTTAATTCAACTCGCTTAGAGGTTGGGTCCCAGGTGTGGAGAGCTCTGGCCTTATCAGATCTCATATTTTTTTACTTTTCCAAAAATTATTTTTATGTGCGATATTTTGACTTGTAACAATAATGTAATATAGAATAAACTATTATTATAGCTATCGGTATGGCAGTTAGTCATAACAGGATAACATAAATTTCGGCACTTATCGACATTTTAATTCTTTTGTGAGATTGCAATAAGAATTGATATTACATAGAGTTTAACTATCGATTGGTAGCATTCATACTGCACTTCTATATTAAAAGGTCTTAAAGATATCTGATTTTCAAACACCAAGAGAATGCATGGAATCAAAGAGAGTGGAAGTTTAGAAACTAGTGTGTTTAGATGTGCCTGAAGTTTATTAAGGATAGGTAGATCTGGTATAGGCTAAATCAGAAAGAATGTGGAACATTGAGGCCATTATGGATATTTTATTTTTGGGAAAGTAACTATTGCTGAGCATTGTGTGAAGGATTTTAGATTGTAACGATTGGATACGAGAGGAGTTTGATGGTTTAGTGGAGCCTCAAATCTTAATTACATAAGTCCAAATAAGCCATATTATAATCAAGTAAATGAGTCCTTTTTAGTTAATTGGATGCTTCGAGTATTTTTCTAGTAAGTGTTGAAGTAGCCAGAAACGTCCAGCAGTCTCTCGTCATTTAATTTATGTATGAGGATTCCAATTAAGACGTTTATCCACATGGAGTCATATATTTCAAAATTAAAATTTTTCAAAAGATGACGCTCCATATTACATATATTTGTGGGACGCATTATTCCCCAAATTTCTGATGGGAAGATTAGAAAACAGGAAACCTTAAATCACCTGCATGCTCTAGCTCGAGACGCAAAAGAGAACAAAACCTGCGCCCACTGCATGAATATCGAAGAGCCCTTACGGTACTGTCAGGACACAGAAAGGACCCTCATTGACCCCTAATGATGGCCCCTTATTCCTCTTCAAAAGGTGAACAACGGGCGACCTCGTTGTCGCTCAAGAAGACTCCATCGGCGGACGTGTCGGCCGTGCCTGATGAAGCGCCGGTCTCGGCCCCCGAAACGTTAAATATGTACATGGTCCGATTGTCCCACGGTTGGAGCTGTGTGGGTTGCGCCTGACAAAAACCCTAGTTGAGAACAATGGAGAAGAACCCGGAGGCTCAAGTGCCACAAAAAGTTGTCGATAATAGAATGGAATAAATTTGGAATACTTCTTATCTAATAAATTTTTTTATTGAATACGTTAAACTTCTCACATATCGTCAGTAGTTTTTCCTTATATGATTTCTTATAAAAACTCATTGACTGTACGTTAAATAATATACATTACATAGATGTGTTTCATCTACAGAATATTTTGATTTTAAAATTAACGTGGATAATTATTTTAAAAATTCTGATGCACGCATAACACAACTTTACTTACTAATCTTCCTCAATTAGAAATATATATTTTCGTATGTATAAAAATAAAAAATAGGCGGTATAGCATTTTCATTTAAAACAATCAATTACCATTGAAAAAATATGAGAAGATTCAGAATATTAAAAGAAAAATAGATTAAAGAATATACACTAATAATAATAGTAAATAATGCCTTGTAATAATCACCAAGTTAGATAAAAAGTCTGAAAATCGAAGGAAAAATAAATTAATAAAATGTTAACAATTTTAACCTAAACGTATTGTAACCTTTGTAATTGACCAAGAAAAAAAAATTAATCCCTCCTAAATTTGTGATTTTACGTTTCAAGACACGTAAAAAAAAATTGAATTTAAAAAACTCATTGTCTATATGCTATTTTGAAAGTTTACTAAATTTCTTTATAAGCAAAAAAAAAAAAGAAAAAATTATGGAAATCAGACATCTCGGTGCAAAGATATAATTGTCTAAATGTTCTACATTTTTTGTACATGTTTCACTGCGTAGTGATCTCCTTTTTTTTTATTACTGGAAAACTTTATATTAATTGAAGGAATTGTCTATATTTTTTAACAAAAAAAAATATATATTAGTATTAAAATATTAAACATTAAATATCATAATTAAAAAAAAAAGTTATCCCATATTTTAACACAACTTCTTAACTCATATGTTAAAATGAAACAGAAGATTAAAATGAATAGACCAGTTAAACTGCTTTGCTCACTTTTATTTCCAAATCTACGAAATAGACAGAAATTAAATACATAAGTATACTTACTTAAACCTATATGGGAATACTTCTCACAGATATGCGGTATAGCTAAATATACTCACATAAAAAATCCTTAAACTCTACAATTAAAAATATTACGACTTATAACTAAAACACCTTGGTTCGTTTTTAACAAAACTCTACATGTTTACTTCCTCCTGCCAACGGTAGACCAACTACCAATTTACTAATAACCAATATACTAGTTCACTAATGTTAGATATGGCTTTAGCTGACATCCCCATCGATACGTGAAGAAGACTAAAAGAGAACGCTGGACGAGAGAACTCCTTCCTTAACAATCCGTGCTAATTGAATCAAGGTAAGAGATACTGTTGGGCGCTACCCGCCCGCGTGCTTGATATGTCAATAACACATACCATCTTTTGATTGCCAATAGGTACAGATAAATATTTAAAGCTAAAAACAGAAAAAAGATTATTCTTAGATACGCGTTTGTGGTTATAAAATATTAAGAAAAATACCCAACCTTATGTTCTTTAGTAAAGCTATATTAACTCCTAAACCAGGCAAAGCTCCGTGAATAATCCGCAGGTCACTGTTTGAGACCGAGTCGGAGGCTATTGACTTGGGATAAACCCAATTCTAGGCGCAGCGCCCAAAGTTCCTGCCCTGTTATCGAGGCCAGAAGATAACCCGAAATTATAGCGGCCATTGTGTCGTCGGAGCTCTAACTTCTCCATACACAATTGTCAGTATTATCAAACTAGATATTACATTAATAATTCGACCAACTCGGGCTGAAACATTATATACTATAAGTTATAACCTAAATTATACTTCACTGGATCATTTTATTTCAAAAAAATGATTTCAACATATAGTCATTTCTTATATTAATAAAACTCGATGTAATAGATCTTAGGAATTTTTTTAAATGAGCCGGAGATTTCGTTTTAACTTTTGGATCAGACTACGACACCTGGCCATTCAAAGCTGTCCGATCCATCAAAAGACTTTGATAACAGGATCAAAGTGGTCTCGCCTGGCCGTCGCTGGAGAGGGCAATTAAGACGCTATTCCTACCTACCGGTGGACCGGAATACCTTCAGGATCTGCTGTTCTCCAGGAGTCTGGAAACTGTTCGCAGCTGTCAGGAGGAAGGACCAACGAAATTAGTCCTTTGTAGGAACAGCTCATTACCGCCTCTTTGAGCCAACTTATTAGACTTCTTTCCTCGCCAGGAAATTGCCATTTTCTTCAGTATTCGACGGGATAATGCCTCTCAGATAATTATATCGACCAGTTCCAGTCGTATTCATTCCCTACTTTTATTCCTCTATCTCTCTTACGGAAGTAATGGAAATGATCCATGAGTCGGTATAGCAAAGTAAAAATATATTAATACCAGAAATTTTCAAAAAGGTAATTGGGTTTAATTTAAAATAGGCACATTCTTACCAGACTAGGTACACATTTATATTGATATCTGAATTGTGGTACATTTTGATTTCATCTTTTATTTTATTTCAACCGATGTAATTTTTACTTAAAATGAATATGATTATGAAACTTTAAAATTAAGTTCAGAACTACCCAAATCCTCTCGTTTTCTAACCTTCCTTCGTCTTCGATCTCTATAACACCCGAGGTGTCTGAAAAGAAGATGGCATCGCGATATCCTAATTCAGTTACGTTATTAAAGTGCTACCAATAGGTAGATTCTCTACAAGTCTTTTCATGTCATTGTATTTCTCTGAATCACATTTGCTGGATGTATATTTATTTTTATACAGTTTTAAATTTATGAATAAAAACGAAAATAAATAAATAGGAATCAGATTTTATTCTATTACATAAAATAGTTGAATAAATATGTATACAATGAAAGAGATATAAAATGGACATTGAATGCTGGTTGAAAAATCAACAGAGTTCCGATAAAAAGTGGTAGTAATTAACTACCGCCAATAAAGATTAAACAGATTGGTTGATTAAAACGTCCTCAGAGCTAGCGATTTGTTTATACAGATGGCACTGCCTCTCAATATATATTTTTTTTACCGAATCCCGCCTCTACCTACCGTGGGATTCCGGATTCCCTTTTAGTTTCCGGATGAAAGTAGGCGTTTGCATCTTTGTGGTAAAAAAATATACACGTGTGTCACCAGTGCTTTAAATAAATTAAATATAAAATAATAATTTAAATTTTAATATACCCAAATAGACTCTGTTAAATAAAATTTAATTGTGGTTCCATCACTTCTCTCTGTTGTGCTTAGGTGATTAAATTTAATTTTATTAAACAATAAATATCACATTGTTCATTCGCGTATTAATAAATGATAAATAATCTAGAAAATTTTCTTTATCCTTAGTTTTTAAGTTATTTTCTGCCCGGAGAAGAATTTAAGAGGAGCTTATTATTTACAACACCATGTTCTTTATTCAACACCAAATAAAAGTTATTTGGTGAAAACAGAAATATACAGTAATGAAGAGAAGAATAGTTGGGGTGGTCAGTCAAAAAGGAAGGCAAAAATAAATGACAATATTTATTTTTTACAAAAAATAAATATTGTAAAAAATAAATAAAAGTATAAAATAAATAAATAAAAGTATAAAAAATAAATAAATAAAAATAAATAAATAAAAGTATAAATAAAGTATAAACAAAAAATAAAAAAAAATAATAAATAAATAAAAGTATAAATAAAAATAAATAAATAAAAGTAAAAAATAAATAAATAAAAGTAAAAAATAAATATTGTCATTTATTTTTACCTTCCTTTTTGACTGACCACCTCAACTATTCTTCTCTTCATTATCCACGACAGTCAAACAATTACCAATTATGAAATATACAGTAATATTAATTAAAAATTAAATTATATTTACACAATGAATTACTATACAATTTACATAGATATATTTATTAAACCATACAAAAATATCTTCAGTTCAACTTTCAGAATAGCTAGTCAATTTCAAAAAACTAATTTTATGTCTTCGCATGAATAAATTTACCGTTGCATATCATTTTACTTTTTTGCTATTGAGTCCTGTTTGCTGAAGCACTTTTTGTTCATTAATTATTTCCAAGCCTGTATCCGTATACCCCTTTTTCCGTAGAAACTATAAGTTTTTAACCTGATAATCAACATTAGCCCAAAATGTTAAAAACCCTCCAAATAAAAACTATTATTGTAAAGCAAATGAAGGAAAACTCATCAAAGAATGAAAACTTGATGTTAACTAAGAACCATAATCATAATCTTCTGTCGAGATTAAATTCAAGTTTCAACATTTATACATTTTTTAAAGTAAAAAAAATAAAATTAAATGAAATTTTATTTTTCGGTATACAATTATTAGATATTAAATTACAAAAACTTGTTAAAATTTCAAATAAGATTTATTTTTTTATATACCTATATCAGAAACAGCATTCCTTTCTGGTTTGCCAATGTTTCGCGCTGTTTTTTTCTTCACGGAGTTAACGTCTTTGGCTGGCATCTTTCATGTTACTTGAACTGTTGAGGATTGAGTTACCTTCCGAAGACCAATTTCACAATTTTCTTTATGGTGGTCCTGGAAATGTTTCCCCTCCCCCATTAAAGCCACCTCATATACTCTCGATGTAAAATTGTACCAAATCTGAATCTAAGGTTCGTTCAGTGCACCTTACTTTACCACTCCATATACATCTGTATTTGTATTTCAGTTTACATAACAAAGAGTTTTTTCTTTTACTGGACGTACGGTAATTAAGGATAATTCACATTTTATATATTAGCTGTTGAAAATCCACAACTAAGCTGTTGTCCTTATATATTAGTCAGTATTATTGTAAAATGAAGCTTATTTTATAATAGCAATGTTTAAGGTTATACAGTTATAAAAATAGATTTAATACCATTGGGATCTCTAACTTTTAATATATTATGGGGAAACAGTATGAAGCAGGTAATTCAGTTTAGGATTGTTGCATAATTATTAATGTTCTGTAAATATATAACCTTAATTTTCTCTTTAATTCTCAGAAGTTGGGCGAGGTATCATTGATTGTGGTTATCTACCTGCTGTGCTTCGAAATATTTACGATCAGGGGAACATAAGTTGTTTATTACGACTGACGTAAGGTCCCGCAATGTGCAACGACCCGTTCGGAATACCAGGCTATAAATCCGCTTTCGCTCTGTAAATCTCGACTACTGAACAGTTAGCTATGATTAGTCCTGACTCAAGTGTCTTTAATATTTATCTGAGGGAAACGCTGAGTTCTTGTGGCATTCTAGCAACTGGGTTAGTAATGTCGGAGTTCATTAACTGAAGACCGAGGGAGGAGCCGAAACCTAGTAACTCCACGCCTCAGCACGATATAGCTATTAAAAGTAACGGATGGTATGCTCAGATTGTGTGAGAAAGGAGTCTGATCTAGTTTTTTTAAAAAAAGATTTAAAATACTGATGGACCATTAATAGTTATCCTCTGGACAGGTTTACACGTGCCGAAATATCGCACGTCTTATCGGAAACAAAAATCGTATAAAATGAAAGGGAGCACGTAAACAGGAAATCACGTTTTAATGAAAATGCTAACGGAATCCTAAGATGGATTCAGTAATTTGATCCGATGGGAATCGGACTACTCAAAATTTCGATTCCATCTTACACAAATTTAAAATAAATAAACCTGTATCGAAGTCAAAACTTTCTCGGAAAAGTATTTGCAAAATAGAATATTTTATACCAGGTATAAATAATATAATGGTTAATTTTTGTTTGAGTCACCTAAATGTTTAAGCGAGAAATCATATTTTTTAATAATATTTTAAAGAAAAACATACGCTCCAACGTTTTTTTTTTTTTTTTTCTATAAAAATGTATTTGCGCCTGTCAACTTATTGTTGACAATCAGCAAATGTGATGGCGATACAAGAAATAATGACATGGCAGGCATGGGGAAGGAAAGTACTCAGCATTACCTCTTTCCTAACTTGTTCCAATTACTTAGGTTGTTTAAGGGAGGAGATCTCTCTTCCAACGCCTTTTTAATATCCTCCTCGTGTTCTGAGATATGCCAGCTGTGACCATGTCTCTTATTAGTCCGTTATTATGTCCGTTTAAATTAGTGTAATATCGTTGATAAAGGATCGTTGTATGTTGGTCAACTGTTGAAAGGTGGAGGTCAGCATGTAAAGTTAGTTAATGAACTTTTGACAATTGATTATTTTTTTTTTCTAGAATAAAGAAAAGAAAGGAATCATCTAAACTTGTTACCAAGTTCATCGAACCGTTTAACAACCTGCGGCCTTTGACCGACCTGAGGCCGGACTGTCCCCGGTTCTTCTCAACAAAATAAATTGATAAAGTTTCTACTTAAGCTTCTTTACAAAACTCCGCTCCGTATGAAAGAACCCAAAGGCGGAATTTTAATTAGAATTTCGTGGTTAACTCTTAGATTATTCCATGTTTTTTTTTCGGTCCCGTAGGCTAGAAACGCTATTAGGAATGATAAAAATATTTTTGATAATGGAACTGAATGTCTAGTTAGTGACCTATTACGATATATATTGGTTCTGCAAAAGTTTAACCAGTTAAAAATGATAAAACAGTATCAATTTGTAGACATTTCTTTGAGGGATATTTGAAAATGGAAAAATTTCATATCATGTATAAATAATATATCTTCTGTTCATTATTCCTAAAATTGGTGTCTTGAGGTTTTATTTGTTATATAAATTAGGCCATTATTCACCAACATTTTATTTCTTAGCTATTTTATTATGACATTTCGACCATCACTAGGGCCATTTTCAAGTCTTAATGAGTCCTCCATTAGATATTCATAATTAATGTTGTATTAATTAGTTCAGTGAAAAATTAAATTGTCCTGCCATTTAAGAGTTTCCCCTACGTCATTTCTGTCCCTCCAGAATCTTTGAGTAGCAGAAGAAGAATCAGAAAAAGAATCTTAAATAGCAGGGCAATTTAATTTTTTACTCCACAAATTAATACGATATTAATTATGAATATCTAATGGAGGAATCATTAAGACTTCAAAATGGCTCTAGTGATGGTCGAAACGTCGTAATAAAACAGCTAATAAATAAAATGTTGGTGAATAATGACCTAATTTATATAACAAATATATACTATAATGTATAATTTTTATAT